ATCCCTGGTCTTACAAGAATCAGGTCATATGTAGTTCAGGATCCGTCGACGGAGTACGCCGATGGAGACCTTTCAAGAAAGAACGTAATATTCAGGTTGGGATGAATGGTTAAGGTCTAATAGGGTTGCGGGAACTGGAGCAGGATTGCTCCTGCTAAGATGACCGTTGCTCGCTGGTTTACCTGCAAATAAGCAATACAAGCGTATATTGTGCAGAAATTTAAACATGATGCAAATTCCCGTTGGACCATGAAAGTTGTCTTTGGACGGTTAGGATGACGTCCTTAGACTATGACGTCCTGAGCCATGAAGCGTATAATAAGGATTTGCAAGCCATGAAATGATGCTCTCGGTTTATGAGAATGATGCCTCCGAACTATGATGCCCTTGAATAATGATATGCAAAAGATAAAAAGGGTCCTCAGGCCATAAAATGGTGTTCTCGGGCTATGAGCATGGTGCCTCCAAACAATGATGCCTTTGGACAATTTGGCGATCTTTCAGCCTATGAGATACAGTAGGTGGCGATCTTTCAGCCCATGAAATGCAAAAGGTGGCGATCTTTCAGCGCATAAGATGCAGTAGGTGGCGATCTTTCAGCCCATGAAATACAAAAAGTGGCAATCTTTCAGCCATGCAAATAATAAAGTGGCGATCTTTCATCCATGCAGATGGAGGTAGAGCTTAACCTCGGAAGGTAGAATGGCAGCCTTATGCAATGCAGAAATGCAGATGGAGGTAGAGCTTAACCTCGGAAGGCAGAATGGTAGCCTTATGCAATGCAGAAATGCAGATGGAGGTAGAGCTTAAACTCGGAAGGCAGAATGGTAGCCTTATGCAAGAAGTAAAAGGGCAAATGATAATAGAATTTTCTTAGCTGATAACGGATTGCGATATTGCGACTGCTGGGGATACTGTGTCTGCTGGGGGACACTGCGGGAGGATAGCAGCTGTGAGTAAGTGCAACGGTTCTGAGAGTTGTATTTCTGAGCAATGTAAGTCTCGTGAGTGTATGGTATATTTGATGATTTTGCAACTCAAGTGTCTGCATCCAAAGAAAAATCGTGAGTTTTGTAAAGGGGGGAGCTTAGTTCGTATTCCCGCTAGCTCTGCTTGACTTGCTCGGCTTTGATCTAGTGATACTGCATGTATCATTGGGGTAGTGTTGCCAAACAAGGCAATTTCAAAAATAGACATGCATGATTTAGTAAAATATAATATAAATACATGATTAAGAGTATTTTCTTTAGATGAACCGACGACTGCGACGTGGTTCAGGACATTGCAACCCTTCTTGTTACAGAATTTTGAGGGTTCTCCTCAAAATTCTACCCCAGTTTAATGGATTGATGCTTTCAACTGCTACTAGTGATGATTGGCTGAAATTAACTTCGAAATTTTGAAGGTCCTCCTCAAAATTCTACCCCAGTTTCCAATTGCGGGGGGAAATAAAAGTTTTATTGAATTGTGACAGAACCCATAGGGCTGCCTACGTATCCCCTCTTAAACGGGAATCATGTCAGGCATAGTTCAATTTACATCATATAGGAAAGCATAAAGATTACACGTAGAAACGCTTGACTGCATCTGAATTGATCAGATTTGGCCAGACTTCTCCGTCCATTTCTGCAAGTATGAGGGCTCCTCCTGTTAGAACCTGGTGAACCATGTACGGACCTTGCCAGTTGGGAGGGAATTTCCTTTTGGCTTCATCTTGATGTGGAAAGAATTTCTTTAACACCAGCTGCCCCGGTGTGAACTGTCTCGCCTTGACTCTTTTGTTGAAGGATCTGGACATTCTGTTCTAATAAAGTTGACCATGGCAAACTGCATTCATCCTCTTTCTGTTTATGAGGGATAGCTGTTCGTAATGATTTTTCACCCACTCTGCATCGTCGAGCTCAGCTTCTTATATGATCCTTAGGGAGGGAATTTCTACTTCGGCCGGAATGACTACTTCTGTACCATAAACTAGCATATAGGGGGTTGCCCCAGTTGATATGCGGACTGTGGTGCGGTACCCTAGAAGAGCAAATGATAACTTCTCGTGCCACTATTTTTGCTTCTCTATCATTTTCCTCAATATCTTCTTGATATTCTTATTGGCGGCTTCTACTGCCCCGTTCATCTAGGGTCTGTAGGCTGTGGAATTCTTATCTCTAATTCTGAAAGTGTCACACATGGCTTTCATCAAGTCATTGTTGAGGTTGGATCCATTGTCGGTAATGATTGACTCTGGAATCCCGAATCGACAAACAATGCGATCGCGGACAAAGTCTACCACGACTTTCTTAGTCACTGCTCTGTAAGATGCTGCTTCGACCTATTTGGTGAAATAGTCGATTGCTACTAGGATAAACCTGTGCCCGTTGGAGGCAGTGGGCTCGATTGGTCCAATAACATCCATTCCCCAAGTGGTGAACGGCTATGGTAAGCTTGTTGCATTAAGCTCGTTTGGGGGTACCTTTATCATGTCTGCATGTATCTGACAGCGGTGGCATTTCTGGACATACTGGATGCAGTCCATCTCCATAGCCATCCAAAAGTAACCAGCACAGAGTATCTTCTTGTCTAAGACAAAACCGTTCATATATGGACCACAGGTCCCTGCATGAATCTCCTCCAATAGCCTGGATGCTTCTTTCGCGTCGACGCACCTTAGTAATCCCAAATCAGGAGTCCTCCTATGCAAGATTCCTCCGCTGTGAAAGAAATTATTGGATAACCTCCGAAGTGTGCACTTCTGAGTAGGATTTGCGAGCTTTGGGTATTCTCCTTTCATAAGATATTCCTTGATATCATGAAACCAAGGTTTTCCATCTGCTTCTTCCTCAACATGAGCATAATAAGCTGGCTGATCATGGATTTTTATCGGAATAGGGTCAACAAGGTTCTTGTCTGGATGTTGTATCATGTATGATAGGGTAGCCAGTGCATCGGCGAACTCATTCTGGATTCTGAGAACATGTTGGAATTCTGTCTTTGTGAACCTCTTTCTTAATTCCTGTATATGATGCAAATACAGGAGTATCTTGGAGTTTTTCATTGCCTATTCTTCTCGGACCTGATGTATAAGTAGGCCCGAATCTCCGATCACTAGCAACTCTTGAATGTTCATGTGAATGTCCATCTTGAGCCCTAAGATGCAGGCTTCATACTCGGCCATGTTGTTGGTGCACGGGAACCTGAGTTTGGCAGACACCGGATAATGCTGACCAGTTCTTGACACTAGGACTGCTCCTATGCCAACTCCTTTGAAATTTGCTGCTCCATCGAAAAACATTCTCCAACCATCATAGGATTAAACAATACCTCTTTGTCAGGAAAATATGTTTTCAGGGGTTCGTACTCTCCATCCACGGGATTTTCAGCAAGGTGATCTGCCAATGCCTGTCTCTTGATTGCTTTCTGAGTTACGTAAACAATGTCGAACTCACTTAACAGGATTTGCCACTTGGCTAGCTTGCCAGTGGAAATGGGCTTCTGAAAGATTTACTTCAAGGGATCCAGCCTTGATATGAGGTATGTAGTATAAACACAGAAGTAGTGTCTCAGCTTCTGAGCACAGCAAGTACGCTCTAACAGAGAATACCAGGCCTCGTACGGGGTAAACTTCTTACTGAGGTAATAAATGGACTGCTCCTTCCTCTTCATCATGCTGCCCCAGAACACAACCGAATGCTCCATCCAATACTGCAAGGTAAAGTAATAAGGGCCTACCTGGCTTAGGCGGAACTAAGACTGGTGGTGTTGACAGGTATTCCTTGATTCTGTCGAAAGCTTTTGGCAATCATCAGTCCACTTGGTAGTGGCGTCCTTCTTCAGTATCTTAAATATCAGCTCACAGATAACTGTAGATTGTACTATGAACCAGCTGTTGTAGTTAAGTCTCCCTAAGAAACTCATCACGTCCTTCTTGTTCTTTGGCGGCGGCAATTCTTGAATAGCTTTGACCTTTGATGGATCTAGTTCTATTCCTCGACGACTCACAATAAACCCAAGTAGTTTTCTGGCAAGAACCCCAAATGCACACTTTGCGGGATTCAGTTTCAGGTTTTACCTCCGTAATCTGTTGAAGAATTTCATCAAATCTTCCATGTGATCAGTGGATTTCTTGGACTTGATAATAACATCATCTACGTACACCTCTATCTCCTTGTGTATCATATCGTGGAAGATGGTAGTCATGGCCCTCATATAGGTGGCTCCTGCATTCTTTAGGCCGAACGACATCATTTTGTAATAGTACATTCCCCACGGCATAATGAAAGCTGTTTTCTCAGCATCTTCTTCATCCATCCAGATCTGATGATACCTAGCGAAACAATCCACAAATGATTGCAATTCATGTTTGGCGCAATTGTCGATCAGGATGTGTATGTTTGGCAAGGGAAAGTCATCTTTCGGACTGACCTTATTGAGATCCCGGTAGTCAACACAGACTCTAACCTTCCCATCCTTCTTTGGTACTGGCACAATGTTGGCTAACCATGTTGGATATTCTACTACCCTGAGAACTTTGGCTTTGACTTGCTTAGTGACTTCTTCCTTGATTTTCAGACTCATGTCCGGCTTAAAATTTCTGAGCTTTTGCTTTACCGGCGGACATGTTGGATCGGTTAGTAGTTTGTGAGCCACAATAAATGTACTCAGACCAGTCATATCATCATACGACCAAGCGAATATGTCTTCATATTCCCTTAGAATTTCTTTGTATTCCTTCTTTTCTGATGGCGATAAGTGGACACTGATTCTTGTTTCTTTGACGTTCTCTGCATCTCCCAGGTTAACAATATTTGTCTCATCCAAGTTGGACTTAGGTCTGTTCTCAAAATTCTCAACTTCCTTAACAACCTCTTATGGTATTTCATCTTCCTTTGAATTTGTGTCCGTTTGTTGCGTTGTCTCGTTGCATGTCACAGTGATTGGTTCATCAAGATAAGTGATAGTAATGTTGTGTAAGTAAAGTAATGATAGAAAACAATAGTAATAAGTGTTGATTCATAATCAAAGTCAAAAATGTTTTGATAAATTGCATAATCGTTTTGAACATTGGAGATCTTATTGCGGGAACTAAAATGCGGAAGGAAAATTAATTGGTAAATAAAAACAGTGCATGATGCTTGTTTAGCCTTGCTACCCCGAGGCTCGTCGGGCTCTAATTGTCCTGATGGTCCAGTTATTGAAGCGTTCCCCTCTGCTTATGGCCTATATGGAAGGGCCTGCCTCCCCCTCCTCCTCAAGAACAACATAACAGTCCATGTCATTATTTTTCAGGAACAAATTCCTCATTGCTACAAGTGCTTCTTCTTCCTCTGACCCATAGATAGCATCGGCCGGTTGGAAAGTCTGCTCCAAGTGTGGTATTGGCTACTCCAACGGGTAGCGGGGGGCTTTATATTCAGCCTCTGCAGAAGATAATGCTATAGTAGGCTGCTTCTTGGATTTCCAGGAAACAGGGCAACCACCAATTAATAATAGAAACCCAGAAACTGATTTTCTACTATCAGAACAACTGGCCCAATCAGAGTCAGAGTAACCTTTCAAGGAAAAATCAATGACATTATTCAAAAATAGCACCAAATCAGAAGTACCAGCCAAATATCTCAGTACATGATAACCAGCCTCTAAATGAGGTACCCTAGGAGCAGACATAAACTGGCTGAGGTGCTGAACAGTGAAGGAAATATCAGGTCGAGTATGTTGCAAATAATTCAGTTTACCAACTAATTGTCTATAGATGGAAGGGTCAGGAAGTAGGGCACCAGAATCAGCTGAAAGTTTAACATGAGGATCCAAAGGGGACACAACAGGACTGACAGAAGAACAATTGTATTCTTGGAGCAAATCAGTAGTAAACTTATGCTTTCCAACTAAGAAACCATCAGGAATTTTGAGGACTTCAAGACCAAGAAAATAATGAATTTCCCCAACATCTTCTATTTTGAATTAGGCATCAAGAAAGTGTTTCAGGGCAGTAATTTCAGACATATCATCCCCAGCAACTAATATATCATCCACACATACGGTTACAATAGTAAGATGGTCCCTTGATGACTTCCTAAATAGAGAATAATTATTTAAACTCGGCTGAAAACCCTTAGACTACAAAGCAGTAGACAGTTTAACATACCACTACCTAGAGGCTTGTCTTAATCCATAGAGAGACTTATTTAGCTTACAAACTAAAGAAGAAACAAGGACAGAATCAGAAGAGGTGACTGAAATACCTTGAGGAATTTTCATGAACACTTCCTCATCTAAATCACTATGTAGAAAAGCATTATTCACATCAAGTTGATAAACAGACCAGCCCCTCTTAGCAGCTATAGATAAAAGACATTTAACAGTGGTCATCTTAACTACAGGGGAAAAGGTCTCATTAAAGTCTACACCCTCCTATTGAGTATCCCCCCTAATTACTAGCCTTGCTTTATATCTTTCAATAGATCCATCAACTCTTTGTTTAATTTTGTATACTTATTTACAAGGTATGGCCTTTTTATCAACAGAAAGAGCGACGACGTACCAAGTGTTTTTAGCTTCCAAGGCTTGAAATTCCTTCATCATAGCCTCTTGCCAAACATGGTGAGAGGCAGCCTGATGATAGAACTTAGGTTCTTGCAAGCAAGCCTCAGAAGACACAGAAAGTACCTTAGAAGTAGAAGCAATATTGCAAACATAATCTCTAAGATATGTAGGAGGATGAGAGGTTCTGGTTAATATTCTGAGAATAGGAGAAAAATGAGAAGGTGTAAAGACTGGAGAAGATTGCACGTGAGAAGAAGAAGAAGAAGAGTGAGGAGATGAAACATGAGGAGGTTAAGAATCAAGAGATGTATTAGAGTGATCAGGTGACATATGAGGAAAAGAAACAGTAGGAGAAACAGAAGGAACAGAAGGTGGAAACAAGTGACTAGAACTAGGAGCAGAATAAGGAAATACATGTTCATGGAAAATGACATCTCTAGAAAAGAAAATACTAAAGTTAGACAAAGTAAGCAACTTGTAGCCTTTCTTGCTAGGACTGTAACCAATGAAAACAGAAGGAATGGTTCTAGATTTTAGTTTATCCCTATATGTCTTAGGCACAACAGCAAAACAGAGACAACCAAAAGTCTTAAGATGAGATATGCTAGGTTCAGTTCCATGGAGAAGTTCAAAAGGTGATTTGTTTTCAGTAATGGAGAAGGAAATCTATTGATAAGGTATGTGGCAGTTAGTATACGCTCTCCCCAATATTTAATAGGCAGCTTAGATTGGAATAGGAGTGCTCTAGCAATCTCAAGGAGATGTTTATGTTTCCTTTCTACAACATCATTTTGTTGAGCTATATGTGGGCAGGATGTTTGATGTAATATACCATGGTCAGAAAAGAATGATATAGCTGTGGAACTGGACACAAGCTCAAAAGCATTAACAGACCTAACCACTTGTATTAAGGAATGAAATTGAGTTTTTACCATAATAATGAAAGATTGTAGGACAGTAAAAACAGTTTCTTTAGAGGATAATAGAAATGTCCAAGTTGCTCTAGAGTAATCATCCACAATAGTCATGAAATATTTAAAGCCATTATATGTTTGAGTATGGTAAGGACCCTAAAGATCTACATGTATAAGTTGAAAAGGGAAAGTGGATTGTATTTCACTTTCAGAAAAAGGTTGTCTTTGCTGCCTAGCCATAGGACACAAGAAAGATTGTTTCTTAGGCAATTTAGCACACAGGAAAGGGATAGTTTTCATTTTACTAAAGGGCAATTGTCCAAGTCTAAGATGCCATGAATGGTCAAAAGATAAATCTGGAGAAGAAACACAAACAGAAGACTCTTCAGCATTTACTGAATTAGAAGAAATGAGACAATAAAAAAAACTATTGCTCTTATTCATATCATTGATGGAATAGGCTGTAATGGTATTTACAAATGAGGTATTGCAAAAAGAGTTGCAATTAGAATTGAGAGTAGTAGGGTTGAGAATATAGAGCCCATTCTGAAGACTACCAAGTGCCACTAGCCTCTTCAGAGAAGGGCCCTGCAAAACACAAGCAACAGAAGAGAATAAGGCTAAACAATTTATTTGTAGAATTAATTGAGCAAGAGAAATCAGGTTATATTGAAAAGAAGAAACTAGAAGCACATTCGTTAGGGAAATTTCATGGGTTAGGGTTAGAGTTCCGGTGCATGTCACTTTTACTTTGTATCCATTAGGCAAAGTAACTAGGTAAGGAAAAATAAGAGGTTTAATATCAGATAAGAATGAAGAGTGTGGTGTCATGTGATTAGTTGCACCTGAATCTATATTCCAAGGACTATTCTCTATCTTAGAAAAATTACAAGCAAGAAACCTAGAACTATTGAAAGTAAGGTTACCTATCAAGCCTGCAAAGTTGGCAGAGCCAGTAGTGATTTCCTGAGGACCAGAACCAGTAGTGATTTTGGACTGTTGGAGAAGATTCATCAATTGATCAAATTGCTCCTTAGTAATGCTTGTACCTCCGGAGTCTAAAGACATTTGCCTAACATCTCCACCACCAGCTTCAAGCTGACCTTGAGATTGAGTATTAGAAACTTGAGCAAAAGCTGCAACCCTTTTGAACTTAGCTGGGAATCCAGGTGGAAAGACATGGAGTTTGAAGCATTTTTCAATTGAGTGTCCAGGCTTTTACAGTATCTACATATCAAATTATTTCTCTTGGCTATGTCAAAGTTAACTCTCTAGTTGTAAGGTTTTTGTGTGCCAGTGGAGAATGCCACAGAATCAGAATTGAAAGAAGGAATAGCAACTTGTAGGGCTTTCATCATTCACAAGCATAGTGCATACACTGTCCACATTAGGTAGGGGCTTCATCAAGAGAATACTACGTCTGATTGTGGAGTAGGACTCATTGAGTCCCATTAGAAACTGATGTACCTTTTGATCTTCATCTAGTTTCTAAAATTTCTCCTTGAAACAATCAGGATAAGAAATAGAAGATGAGAGTTCATCCCATAGCTTTTTTATTCTATTGAAATAGGAGGAGACACTGGATGTTCCTTGAAAATGGATGAGATTTCCTATCTAATCTGATATATTTTGATTCCACTGGCCTGCAAACCTCTTTTCAATTTCATTCCATAACTTTCAGCAGATTCTGTGTACATGACAATTTCCCTAATTTCTCGATCCAAACTGTTAAGAATCCAAGTGACTACCATGTCGTTACATCTGGTCCAAGGCTCAAATAGTGGGGAATTAGGACTAGGTTTCGGAATTGTACCCTTAATCATCCATAATTTGTTCTTACAAGATAAACCTAGTAACATTCCCCTTCGCCAACTCGCATAACTAGTTCCATCAAATGTGCTAGAAACCAACACCATCCCAAGAGAATTGGACGTCAAAAGATATAAAGGAGAAGAGGGATGTACAGTAGTATCATCACTACCAACGGTACTGTCAACCGGAGTCGAGGTTGAACCCATAGCAATTCACTCAAGGTTTCAACAAAGAGAAGATTATATCGACACTCAATTGAATTAATTCAAAAAAAAAAAAAAACAATAAGAGAACAATACTTGTCTGAAAATAAATGCCTTTAGAAGAAGAAATCGCCGATGTACACCACTGGAACTGTCGAACCACAACCTCCTCGCAACAGCTCAACGTCAAAACCCTAACTTCTCAACAAAAATTGTAGAAATCCGGAGGAAATACCAACAAACAACAGCGGAAAACTCAGCGAAAACAATATAACAAAGATAACATCCAAACGGATGCAAATCGCCGGAAATCGAGTCTCGTCGGAAAATAGAACTCCAGCAAACACTAATGACGTTAGGATCGGTCGATAGGAAATCGTAAGAGCCACACGAATCTATGCTCTGATACCATGTTAATACACATATTTATTAAGTAAAAGCCATAGATTGAAGAAAACATACCTTGAGAAGAAGTTCTGAGAAAAATCCCCTTTTTTCTTCCTTTTTTTTTCCAGAATGTTCTGTACAAACTTGTTCCAAATTAACATTCTCCTATATACAATTTGGGTCGGGTTGACTTAAATTATATTTGGGCCTAAACATAAATTGGGCCTGCTACTTAACCGGGTTATCACAATTTTCAGCTTCAACAGCTTTCCCTCGTTGCCTATTATCTAGCTGCTATCCTTTCTTAACCCTAATCATACTTGAGACATGGAATTGAATGTTTCTCACCCCAAAGTTAATAAATTCAAGAATAAGGAGGACTTTTTTTGGCAAAGCAAGACTGATTAGCTCATTTATACGAATTGTCGGGTACTTCTTATGGAACCTTTTCCTTACTGTGATTGGTTTCACTTTCCCTTAATGCAGTATCCAAACATAATATATATCAATATCAATAAAATATTGATTTTAAATAAAGCGCACTTCTATTCTTTATAGCCTTTGTTTTGAAATGTGGACCACATGTCATCTATGCTATAAGAACGCAGAATTTTCATCCAGTGAACCACTTTAATTGTAATATTGTAACAAATAATATGAAGAGATTCATAAAACTCACTATCGTGTTTCAATATATATAAAAAATGAGATTTTTATACTATTCATCTTTTGATGACCAAATTATATTGTGATGCATGCAAATTTATAATTAGCAAAGATATCTTTAGGAAAAATTTATACCAAAGAGATTTCCTTCCATAATATCATTTGGTGTTTAATCCGATTAAGGAAACTTTCTGTATTATTATTAGCTACCATTTAGTTAGTTATTAAAAAATGAAAGAATTTTCAAAATTTCTTTTCTCATGAATTTCTTTGAAATCGTAAGAGCGGTAGGTTGAGCAAAATGTCATCCTAGTTTATAAGTATATAGTAATATATAAACATGTAAAAAATTTCCCACTGTCTAGGAGTACATTTCTATCTTTAGCTTCAAATATCAAAGTCGATATGTTGTTGATTGACCCTATATAGGATTTGAATCCAAAGAACTGATTATTAATGAATTTAGTAAGTTTAAATCTTTTAGAGAACAAAACTCACGAAATGAATTTAATGAATGAGATTGGCTTATAGTATTCAATCACCTACTTATATTGTGATCCATAAGTAGATTTCATGTAAAGATAATTCTAGTAAGAAATTTATACCAGAAAGAATACTTTCCATATCCTTTAAGTATGATCCGACTAAGAAAATCTCTTGTACCATTATTTGTACATCATCTAGTTCCCCAAATGTTTCATCCAAGAAGAAAAAAATAAAAGGTTGACAAGTTCTTATCATGGCATCATCATCATCGTCAACAACGGGAGAGAAGAAGATGTTGACACTGAAGAGCGGCGATAACGAAGCATTTTACCTTGAGGAATCTTTGGTCTTACAGTCTGACCTTATCAAGACCATTGTGAAAGAGGAATGCATTTCCAGCATCCCATTGCCTAGTATCAAAAGCAAGACACTGGTAAAAATTATTGAATACCTCAAGAAGCACGCGGAGCTCACTGCCTCGAACAAAGAAGACTTCAAGAATTTCGAGAAAGAGTTTGTGAATGTTGCGTTGGAAGAGCTGCTTGACATAACTGTGGCAGTAAGTTATCTGAAAATTAATGGTTTGTTGGAATTCTGTTGCCAGGCTGTGGCTGACAGAATAAAGGACAAGAGCGTTGAAGCCGTTCAGAAGATTTTTAAAATTGAAAGTGATTTTACCCCAGAAGAAGTGACAGAGTTTAAAAGGGAAACTTCTTGGGCCTTTGAAGGTGACCTTGATGATACCACCATCTAGGGTTTTATGGTAGTGAAGGGAAAAATTATATTTGATCTGAATAAACATATAAAATTAATTTCTTTCGTGTACCGATTTGGTGGATGTCTATTTGATTTTGAAATAAAGCTTTATGCTAAGAAAAAGGTAGAAAGGAAAATACTATCTGATATAGTGAAGGGTGTTTGATAGTATTTATCTATTCCTTGAAAACTAATTTGTATTCGATCATTTATATGCTATCTATAGCTATCTTTGTCTTCGTGTTGGTTGGAGTGATATTTGAGATTAATCATAATAGATCTGCTTCTTGTATCGAACAAGCTAATACCATTTGAATTTTGAGAAAAACAATTATGCTAATAAAAGAAAAATCAGAAATAATTTCTTAATGAAAGATGGTTGAAAATATTCAATTCTAGAGAAGCTTTGATATGTTCAGTATACTGTAACTATTTTTTGTTTTCATATTTGTTCGATTGATAAATTTGAAGTAGCTATCATTTGTTAATGATTAAGCAATAATAAGATTATTCTTGCTCTTTTATATATGAGATGGCATTAGTTTAAATATAATCTCGTTATACGTATAGTACTTGAGCACCAATTATGTTTCACTAACTTGATTTAACGGTGAATAAAACCAAGAAAAGATCCAAAACCTTAATTATCAATTTTTTTGACACATTAAATGTCAACAGATCAGCTTGGTGTTAACTCCAATTGTCATGACCAGGAATTCTCACCGTCGAGACCGCAAAGCGCCTAACATTTCCACTTTCCAAACAAGCCAACGTTAGAATATTATTAAGCCAAACCTCATTCAATTCAACAATTAACAGTAAACAACTAAAGTGAAATACAACGAGTGTGGAATAATTTAATAACTTCATAATTTACTACTACCCGGATCTGGTGTCACAAGTTCACGAACATTCTAGGATTTACTACAAGTAATAGTCTGAAAGAAATACAATTGTTTGAATGAAAGAACCAGTAAAACAAATAGGAACAAGTAACCATAGTAAAAGAAAGTACACGGCATCACCCTTCGTGCTCTTACTCTCAACCTCATCATATGAATCTAATAGAAACAGCACGGCATCACACTTCGTGCATTAACTCTCTCACAACATGGCACGACATCACCCTTCATGCATTAACACTCACAATATGGCACGACATCACCCTTCATGCATTAACACTCTCCCTCACCAAAACAATGAACAATAATAACAGGGAGATAATCAAGAACAAGTCTTACTTCAACATTTGGTTCCACAATACCAACCTCAACTTTAAATCAATACTCAATCAATACCAAAATCCGTAAATATGAGAGAACGATCAACATAATGATTAACTAGTCTAAGCATGCGTAATATGATCATGGAAAGCTACAATTACATGAATAAAACTCACTCGCATGCTATAACTCAACAACAATGCATCGATACCCGTCACTTCACCTATACGTTGTACTCAACATTCAAACACGTAGCAAATAGGCAAATAAGACCTAATCTCTCAAACCAAGGTTAACCACGACACTTACCTCGCTCCGCGGTCAATTCAAAGCTCTACCGAGGCTTTTCCCCTAGAATTTGCTTCCGAACCACTCGTAGCTAGCCACAATTAACTCAATAACATCAAATACTGTTAAAGGAATCAACTACAATGCATAAATTTGAATTTCCCAAACTTTTCCCAAAAAGTCAAAAACCAACCCTCAGCCTGCTTGGTCAAAACCCGAGGTTCGTACCAAAATTTATTTACCCATTCACCCCCCGATCCCAAATATATAATTGATTTTGGAATCCGACCTCAATTTGAGGTCTAAATCTCCAATTTTCCAAATCCCAAGTTTCTACCCTAAAAACCCCGATTCTACCATGAAAACTCTAGATTTTAGGTTTAAAATTCATCAAATGTAATAGGTAATTGAAAGAAAGTAGGTTAGAATCACTTACCAATAATTTGGGGAAAAATAATATCTTGGGAGAATTGTCTATAGGCTTTCTCGCTTTAGAAAATTTGAAAGAATGGCCATAATCCCGTACTGGGACTATTTAATAGTTGGGCGACAGTGTTCATCGCGTTCGCGTGAACACTGTCGCGTCAGCGACGAGCAAGGCCTATATTATAACTTCTATTTTTACAACCGGACGTCTGAATCACGTCAAACCAACTCCGTTTTTCACCAAATTTCACAGACAAGTCATAAATATTATAATGGACTTATATCGGGCTCCGAAACCAAAATACGGACCCGATAACAACGAAACCAAATATTAACCAAATTCTTAAAATCATAAAATTTTGTTTTTATCTTAAAATTCTTAAAATTTTCAAGATGGCAAAAATTCTTGTTTTTATCAGTTTTTAGCATATAAGTCTTCCGGAAAAATACCTCATCCGCGCACATAAATCGAGAAAGACTAAATTAAGATATATAAGGCTTCGAAACACATAATTTAGTTCATCATCTGCATTTCTGTCTTTTTTTGTTTTGTTTTTGCTTTGGTTCCAAACCAAAAAAAAAAGAGATAAGATCAAGTGATGTTTCAAGAAAGAAAATCTGCATAGATATTGGTGTTACGAAGAAAATACGAGATTTGTGAAGCCAATGGTGGCTTCTTCACCCCACTGACTATGCTCGTGTGTCTGTGAGTATAAGACCGTTGAGGACAGTGATTGGGTTTTTTAATTGGCAGTAATATATTTACGGCCAATTGGTGTAGCCTTAATTGTCAGATCAAGCTGAAAATATTCATCGCTTCTTCATTGTTTGGAGTGGAAGGCTTTTAAAAAATAAAACCTTGGTCTTTTCGCGTAAAACCAAGGATGACTTGTTGGCACTTGACCAATTAAGATGGAAAAAAATAAGAATCTTGAACTAATGACATATAAAAAAATTCATATCCTAAATGCTGGACGAGTGTTATGTCTTCCATCGGTTCACAACCGAATGAATTTAGTGAATATTTTGACTCTGTTCCACATGATTGCAAAGAGACTGCCCCATGCACAAATTTAAGAGTCTCTAAGGCAGAAACTTCAAACTATTTAAATGGCCTGCAACGGTGAGTAAGCCAGAGATGTGGAGGTACTCGAGAAACTGGAAGGAACTGCTAATTTTCTTGGAATTCAGCAATTCTGTGGATGTCCGAGCCCTCACCAAGAAGAAAGTAATATGTGATAACCCGATTGGTCATCTAGAGTTTTAAACCTTAATTTTGTGTTTCAAAGTCTCCAATAGCTTCTTTAAGTCTCCCGCAATTTGCGTGCGCAGTGCGGGTATTTTTTCGGAAGACTTTTATGTTAAAAAGTGATAAAATATGAATTTTTGTCTTAAAAATTCATTTGAATTGACTCCGATCAACGTTTCAAGCAAACAGATTCGGATACGTATTTTGACGGTCTCGGTGGATCCGTATCGTGATTTAGAACTTGGACGTATGCCCGAAATTGAATTCGGAGGTCCCTACCTCGAGTTATAACTTTTTGTTTAATTTTCAAAGTTTAAAGGTTTAAAGAAATCAAAGATTTGAACAATGTTTGACTTTGTTGATACCGAGTCCGTATCTTGGTTCCGAAACTCGGTATATGTTCATTACTATATTTATGACTTGTCTGCAAAATTTGGTGAGAATCAAAGTTGGTTTGACGTTATTCGGACGTCCGGTTGTTGAAATAGAAATTTTAAAGTTTCATTGAAAATTCCACTTGATTTGGTGTCCCATTCATAATTCTAGGTGCTATTTTGGCAATCTGATTGCGCGAGCAAGATCATATGATATGTTTAAACTTTTGTGCATATTTGGTTTGGAGCCCCGAGGACTCGAGTGAGTTTCGGATAGGCTACAAAGTGAATTTGGACTTAAAAAATAGCTGGTGCAAGTCTGTTTCTGGTGCAGGCCTTAGACTTCGCAATTGCTAGGTCTGGTTTCGCATTTGCGATGGGGAAGACTCCTTGTCAGACATGCATTTGCGAGCTACTTCCTCGCATTTGCGAAAAAGTAGTTGGGCATCAATGATTCGCAATTGCGACATCTGCACCTGGACTTAAGCTAAGTTAGACGTGATTTCTCTCATTCTTTTAAGTTTTAAAACTTTGAAACCCTACTGGCAATTTTTTCAAGAGCTCTTCTTCACAATTCATTGGTGAGTGATTCTAACCTACTTTCTTTCAATTTTTCATTCCATTTCATAAGATTTCAACCTAAAATCTAGTATCTTCATGGTGAAATTTGGGGGTTTGGGTAATCAGGCTCGGGGTGAATGAATAATCAGGTTTTGGTGTGACTTTCGGGTTTGGACATCCGGGAGTTGACATTTGTTGACTTTTTCAATAATGGCCTAAATTGAACCTTTGTCATTCGTTGGTAGTTCATAAGGCTTATTTTGAATCGTTTGGTTGATAATTTGCTAGATTTGGTTGGTTCGGAAGCTTGTTTGAAAGGCAAAGACGTGGTTGAGCTTTGAATTGATCGTTCGAGTGAGGTAAGTGTCGTGATTAACCTTGACTTGAGGGATTAGGACTTGTTTGATTATGGGCTACTTATTTAAATATTGGATACAACGTATATGTGAGGTGACGAGTACTTATGTTTTGTTGTTGGGTTGAAGCATGCGGGTGAGACTTGTTTCTTGTCATTTATTTTTTTCTTTGATCATGATATCCATACTAAGAGATGTCAGTATTGATACCCCTACAGTTGATTCAGTCCCAGTAGTGCAGGATTTTCCTGATGTGTTTCCAGCTGATCTTCCAAGCATGCCGCCCGATAGAGATATTGATTTTGGCATTAATCTGTCGCTGGGCGCTCGGCCCATTTCTATTCCTCCGTATCATATGGCCCCTCTTGAGTAAAAGGATCAGTTACATGAATTGTTTGATAAGGGTTTCATTTGGCCTAGTGTATCACCTTGGGGTGCTCTTGTCTTGTTTGTGAAGAAAAAGGATCGTTCTATGCATATGTGCATTGACTATTG